GTGTGTATGTGTGTGTATGTGTGTGTATGTGTGTGTATGTGTGTGTATGTGTGTGTATGTGTGTGTATGTGTGTGTATGTGTGTGTATGTGTGTGTATGTGTGTGTATGTGTGTGTATGTGTGTGTATGTGTGTGTATGTGTGTGTATGTGTGTGTATGTGTGTGTATGTGTGTGTATGTGTGTGTATGTGTGTGTATGTGTGTGTATGTGTGAAGGTTGTAAGTATCTGACCGGGCCTGACACTGGCCAGGGGCTGCTGCCCAGCCCCAACGGAAAGACCGCCTAAGCTCTCTCCCGCGGACGGGAGAGGGGCGCGAGGGGCCTCTGTGGGTGTAGCTGTAGGTGTACGTGTACGTGTAATAGGATAGATTGTAGTCTGAATACCAATATGAATATCGTCTGCGGCCGTATAGCTAAGTGGATATAGCATGCCCTTCCTAAGGGCAAGGTCCAAGGTTCGACCCCTTGTACGGTCGGTATTTTGACTCATCCCATTGAGGCTGTCCCATTTGCATGTTACCTGACCACCATTGCAGGTGATGGACTGTGCAGCCCAACCCGCAATGAGACAACAACCACGTGCTCTCGAGACTGTGCCAAGCCCAGGTCGTTCCCACCTCCACCGCCGCCGCGGCCGCCGCCACCGGAGGAACCGTCCTCCCCGGACTACGCGCCTCCAGAACATGCCCCCCCACCCGACTACACCAACGCACCGCCACCTTCTTACTACGACTATAGCTACGACGAGGATGATTACTACGCACGATAAGAAAAAATGGTTATGGCGGCCGCATCGTGCCGACCTCCAAGCGCACTTAGTACACTAAAAGCATGCACACACGTATAGAGACCCATATCTAACGCGTGCCAATGCTATGTGTGTCTATCATACAACGTCTATCCATCTAGCTACATATGCATGGCCGCTACTACACCTGCTGTCTTGTATTTAACCAGGCCAAAAAAGGTGGGGTCGTTCAATCGCATGTCTGTACGTAGATAGCAGCTGTAGGTTGCCTATCCTGCTGAACATCGGCGATTGATGTTGAGTAGTAGAGACTACTTCTGTCATGCTGCTAGCTAGGCTGTTGCGTTGTGTGTGTACACGCGCGCGAGCTCGCGCGCATTATTCATCCTATACTGTCATAGATGGTTATTCTCGCTTTTTTAAGCAAGGTTGAAGTAGTGATTATTAGTAGTAGTACTATACTGCTGGGCAGTTGTGCTTATTTCCCTCTTTCCTGTTGCTAGCTGCTGCCGCAATCCGCTGGTACTTCCGCCTGATGGACGGTGTCCTTGCTGCTGCTGCTGCTGCTGCTGCTGCTGCTACTGCTGCTACTGCTGCTGCTGGTGTTGCTGCTGCTGTTGCTGTTGCTGTTGTAGTGATTGTGCGGTGAAGGATGCACGCGGCTGCAGCTTAATTATCTGAGCACCGGTGCATTCAAGTTGATATCATCATTTGCAAATTCGCGCAGCAAGGTTCTATTGCGTGCACGTGTCGCGATAGATACGTAGCGCATGTGGCATCTATAATAAGTATTTTCCATGCCTGCCTGGACGTGAATCGATTCTGTGAATCGATCCCGTGAATCGGTCAATTAGTCAGTCGCGCCATTCACAGCTGATCATGCGACGCGCGTAACGATGAATGTTGGTATGTCCGTAAGCAAGTGATTCGCGGTTAGTTCTTGTGGCAATAGGTGGCCCGTTGCATTGCTGTTGCAAATAACGCTGCACAGCGTAAATTGCGTGCGTCGAGAGCGGAGACCCATGTGATGACATTTATTGGCCCATGCATGTGTGCGTGATGCGTGTGCGTTACTGCGTGCGCGAATTACACACTGTACGGCGGCCCGGCTCCCGCACCCTAAGTTGACATAGATGCACCGTTTTCATCTTCATCGTCTGAAGAAAGTCGCTTTGGCTGCTTTCCTTCTGTTCATTATCCTGAAGATCAATACTTATGACGGCAAAAATAACCCTCTTGCTTATATAATCTGTGCGCGCTTACAGATTATAAACGTAAAAACAAGCATTTGTAAAATTTGCTGACAGTTGCCGGTTTGTCCCTGCTTATCACAAACATGGGCCAACCAACTACCCTTAGGCGGTTGGATCCTTCTTTATGTTTGTTGTTCAAAATAGAATGGAAAGCTTGTCGACGTAACCATGTTGCTGTCGTAACATAAGATAGACGTAAGCGTCACGGTAGATAGATTGGTAGGTAGGTATACACTCAGATTGACAGATTGAGAGGTTAATGTGCCTAATGAAGATAGGAACACGGATAGGAAAGCATACAGCATTAAGGTGCCTCATGTGTACTGGTCACTGTGCACATACATCATTACTACATTTCCAAGGGGCTGGGCAGGCAGCTGCGGGCTGCAGCCCGCCCCGCCCCGCCCCGCCCCGCCCCGCCGGCCCGCCACCACCCACGCCCGGATTGCCCGAGCGCTTGTTCATGTGTAGACCATCGTGTCATTCGTTGTGTGGCACTTCTATAAAGTGCCCTGAGAGCGGGTCACTCGACATAGTAATAGAAAATGGAACCAAGATGTGCGCCTCCCCTTACATGCTATGCGGCCCGCCGTATTACGATTGTAGTAACATTGTAGAACTATCACGTGGAACTATCACGTGACAGAGGATGCAATCGCGCGCAGTTCACTGCCGGTACAATACGGCAACAGTAGCAAATTGCCGGATCCCATCTTCCCACGCATTTTGGGGGACTGCGACGGTGCAATGGTTCCTGCCGAGGTTGAAAGAAGAAAGGGTTTTAATATAATATGTTCTAATTTAGCTGGCGCTTTGTTACGCGGTATGGAGAAGCCAGGAAAAGCTTGATTTAAGGGCCCGCGCTTTGCACTTTGCGGGCTAATGTGAAAATCCGCCTTGAAGCTCAAGGACTGCGATGCAAAGCCTGAGGCCGTGAGACGGAAAAGGCTTAGCAACGTGACTCCGCACGCCCCACGACAGCACACAGCATGAGGCAACATAACAAGTAAATGCAGAGCTGTATCATTCAACCCTGACACACCTCTAGCATCGCTTAATTATAATTTGGGACAAAATGCGCGCAAACGTGGTTGCATTCAAGCCTTCGCACGGTGCAACCGCGGCATATCGGTGCGCGACTCAACATCCTAGAGCTTTTCGAATCATTATGAAGTCAGCTGCTCAGCCGGGTGAGCATGCGGCAACTGGAGCTTACATTCACCGCATGCTTTAACTTACCTTAAACGACTTGCAGTTAGCAGTTCTACAGAATTGAAGCCGGAGATTGCACGCGTTTTACGAACGGCAGAGGTGTGCAGCTGCTGCGCAGCGATTCGTCCTCCGCGCCGACACTTGCGATGACGCGCTTGCAGCTTAACGCGCTGTTTCATCCGCAGGCTGTATGCTTCGATGTCGACAGCACGTTGTAAGCATGCAGAGAATGGTCTGATTACTGCTTCCAAAACATAAAGCATGCTCTTTTGCCCAGTCCAACGACCCAACGGCATTGCTTCGCAGTTGCGAGGACGAGTCCATCGATGAGCTGGCAGCATATCTTGGCGTTGGGGAGCAGGTGGCAGCCTTAACGGCAAGGCAGGTCGTTGTTGACTCGGTGTTAACAACTCATCCACCATGCAATCGAGTCCTCCCCTTTCTCCGTCCCCACCTCCGCTCTCCTAACCACTTTCTCCCTCTTCCCCCCCTCCTCCGCGGGCCTCTCCCTCCCCGCCTTACCTTCACCCTCAGGGCCATGGGCGGCTCTGTTGAGTTCAAGGAGGCCCTCCGTACCCGTCTGGGGGTCATGAAACCCAGAAGGGCGGATGTGGAGCACTTCTTGAGGGACCACCCGCACCGAGTCACCCCGGGTGCGCGGGAGGGGGGAGCAAAGGGGGGGGGGAAAGGGAGGGACGGACATGTAAGTAGACAGACAGACAGATAGACAGACACACAGACGGACACATATGCAAACACATAGATGGACGGACAGACAGATGGTTAGACAGGCAGACAGACAGGCAACAGGGAAACCAGTGAGCGATCCATGAGATGTAATGGCAGCCTGGAGGCCAGGTCGCTCAATTCCCCCCCTTTCCCGCCGTGTCAGGTTATTTTTGTCCTTGAATAGTATATTTATATGGTTTCTCTTCTCCTTCTCTACAGCTCTCCAACTGTGCCTCCCCCTCCACAAAACACACATACACACGCACACATACACACACACGCGCGCGCATATACACACACAGGCATCCCCGAGTTGGTGGCTCTCCTGCGGTCCCGGGGTCAGGAGGTGTTCCTGGTGTCGGGGGGCTTCCGACAGATCATCCACCCCCTCGCCGAGTCTCTAGGGATACCGCTGTCCCACGTGTTTGCGAACTCCATCTTGTTTGATGTGAGTGTCCGGGTTTTAGGGGTTTTAGAACTCGTGCGAGGGGGAAAGCGGGATTTGGGTTTTACGGTTTTAAAAATCGTGCCAGGAGGGGAGTGGGAGTGGGATTTTAGGGTTTTAGGGTTTGGGCCGGAGATGAGAGACGGGGGAGTCTGAAAACCCACCATCACCGTTGGGCGATTCGTAGTGGTGGTTGTGCCGCAGGTGTGTATTTCCCCACCCAAGCCCTTAATCCCGACGCGATTCGCCGTCGCAACCGTCGCAGCCGCAGGGGGGGCCGTGTTTTCCGTGTCATGTTTAGGCTTGCAAGTCGCGGACCTGTTGTTTTCCTCCCCCTCCATCTCCCTTCTCCGGCAAAACCACTGAGATGCTTTCCATCCCGCTTTTCTTCCTCCCCCTTCACACATACATACATACATACATACATACATACATACATACATACATACATACATACATACATACACATGACCTCTCTTTCAGTCCGAGGGGAATTACGCGGGGTTCGACGAGAGCGAGTTCACGTGTCGCAGCGGGGGAAAGCCGGCGGCGATTCGCCATATCAAGGTACGGCACACCCTGGTTATGTAGAAGCGTTTTACCACCACCGCCGCTACCACCACCACCGCCACCACCACCACCGCCACCATCTCTCTTTCTTTCTTTGCACGTCTCTCCGTTCCTGGCTTGCTCGGTGCATCACATGCACATGGTTGCCGGTGGTCAGGGGCCGCTCCGGAACCCACTAAAACCCCGCGTGCACGTGCATGGAAGGAATGGCGATGCCGTACTGTATTGTCGTACGTGCAGGACAAGTACGGGTACGACAGTATTGTAATGGTGGGCGACGGCGCCACTGATTTGGAGGCCAGGTCTGAAGGAGCAGCGACCGTGTTTGTTGGGTAAGTCGGAAGAAGACGGGGAGGGAAGGGGGGGGAAAGAGGAGGGAAAGTGCAGGTTTAGGGTATTGGGCGATTGTGGAATTTTGTAGTACCGTGGCAGAGGAAACTAGGCTGGAAGGTCTGTCCGCGCCCTTTTTGTGTGACAACCCCCTTAGTTGGTTTAGGAGATGGTTAAGAGATATTTTCACAAATATCTGCACACGCACAGCCCTTTGCTTGCCTTTACAACGCACCACTTGCTCTCCTTGCCAACCCCATCCTCCGTTGTACCTAACTATTTCGCAATTGTCGTACATTGCAGGTACGGTGGCGTTGTCGTACGCAAGAACATCGCAGAGAAGGCGGACTGGTACATCCTGGATATCCAGCAGCTCATCGACGTGCTCAAGTAAAAGCATCAACACAGCATTAACATTACGGACGCAGCATTAACATTGTCTTTCCGTACTGTGTGTACTGTAACCTCTCCCATACATTGTACGGCAAGTACGACGCACCCTAAGGCGCCCTGAAGAACTCCCCATTGCCCCAGCACCCATCAATCAAAACCGTCAAATACTTCAGCGGAAAACCCCCCACCTTGTGTGGAGGTGGGGGTTAGGGTTTTAGGGTTTTGGACGAGCGTGATGTGTTTACGGGGAGAGGAGAAGACCACGCCTCCCATATCCCTTTGCACGTCGTTTCATCCATTGCTGTTAGCTTATCGAAACCCTTTTAGGGATGATGAGAGCTGGTGAGATGATGCTCTTTTTTAGGCGGTTGGGTGAAGGGGTCAACTTGCTTTCCTCGGTGCTCCATGATGATGTGTGCGGGTCTTGGGCGACATGTTGACCCCGCCGACGTGTTCGCCCCGAAATCTGATCGTATGATCTGATCAGGTCCGTTGAAAGCGATCAATAATGGGATCATGGTGGTGTGTGTGTGCGTGTGAGTGCGTGTGTGTATGTACGTGGCTCCGAAGCTACAACCCAGCCAATGTGACCAGACACCACACACCGGTGGTGGTGGTGGTGGTGGGCTTGTTGGAGTGTGCATCGATGTATTAGCCTCATGCTTCATGACATGTGCATAGTCTTCCTCTCGCCCGACTCTTATCATGTACTCGCTCGACTCTTATCATCCAGCGGCTCGACCCCTCTCGCCCCTACCACCAAGCCGCCAGTACCGGGGCCACGACACGCGGAGCGAGAGGCCCTGCTGCCTTGGGGCCGGTGTTTGAGCCGGAAAGGTTGAGGGGGGGGGGTTGGTGGTCCTAGAGAAGGGCGGAGGAGGGTTAGGGCGCCCAAGCCACGAAGCGCTATGATATGGTGGTGGAGGGGAGGGGGAGGGGGACAGTGCACCAAGACGGTGATAGTGGCGGTGACATACATACACAAACCAGCAGCATTCCGTCCGTCCACGACGTTCTCACATTTTACAAAGGAGGCGGCGGTGGCGGCACTTTTTATCAGCTGGTGCGGTACATTGTGTGGCGTACTTGATGTTGTCGTACCAAGCACCAGAGCAAAACAAAACAACGGGCATATGCATACGTGCAAACGTGTACATGGTATCAGGGCATACATAAAAAAATATATTCTTATATCCATGTTCATGGATACTGACGTGTATGCCTTAGCCGCGCGCCGTACGACTGAGAAGGTCTATCTACTTTCTAGCGCTCTCCCTCACCAACCACCAACAGATAACGGTCACGCGTATTCCTCTGTGGACACTGTGTCCCTACTCCCAACTTCAACTGGGCCGCGGCCTGTACGATGATGCACGTACTCATGGTGCAGATATATATGTACAGAAGGTTGAAGAAATACACGACAGGCAACCTTAGATGTGGGGGGGTATCCAAAAGTACAGTACGGCGCTGATTCACCGGCAACTACCAACGGCAACGGTTTAAATCGACTTGCCAACCAACTAAGGGAATGCACTCCGCAATCCTGTTCACAGCAATATCGGCCGCTCCAAGCGTCTTCCCTTTCACCATTCCTTTTTGTCGTACAATATACGGCGTACAAACATACCATGTATTGTCGTCATACCAACTAGCACAACTCAGCAAGACACGAGAGACAGGGACGGGATCAAATCCGACAATCAACCAAACAGGACTATAAGCATTTGTACGAACGCCGTGTGTGGAGAGGCTGAAAGTGCCCTCAGGCTGTGAAAACCAACTAACCAACCACCAACCAACTATTGACAGCTGACGTACGAAACGAAACGCCGCGAAGAAGTAAGAAGGAGAGCTTACACTTACCGTTGTCGTCATCCGGCATACATCTTCCGTACTCGATGTCGTACAGCATGCTCGGCCGTTTCACGCGTCGTACACCGTTCCTCTGGTGCTGCTTATAGCGTGCGCTGCAACATTATAATTCGGATACACTACGGCAGCCGCACACCGTCTACTACTGGTACTACCACTAAGCACTCACAAGATGTAAACAATCAAACCATGTCTTGTTTAAATTGCCACAACAGATCGAACAGATAAAATTAAAAAAGTGGAAAGCCTTCTTCGTCGTCGTTTAACGCCACTTTGAAGCCACAAAAAATGTCATTTACAACAAAAGCAGCGCGACTAACCGTTTCAAACAGCCACTAACCGTTTCGCAACCGTTTTCGCCACAGCCGGCTTTCAGTTCCCGACTGACTCTTCCGTCTTCCCAATCGACTTCCGCGAATCGCAGTCCTTTCGGGACTTAAGCTTGTACGGCTCATACATTTAGGAGAGTCAGCAATAAAGCAAAAACAACAGAGTCACCCTCTAGGTGGTCACCCCTTCGGCGGCTCCTCACGCTGACGTCGCTTCCTCTTCCTCCGACTCCACCTCCGAATCCAAGTCCCTCTCGACCCAATCCAAATAAAGTGCCGTACGGGTCCTCTGCTCGTTCGTACCCTCGTACTTTACTGTACTGCATACATGCAAGTGCGTACATGTATGATGTTGCTACGATCGTCTTGCTGCCCCCATCGGCTCAGAAGGATCCTAAACAAGCTACAACGGGAAAACCTCCGAAAGGGACCGAAGGAAAGGCGGGCGCACACTCGGAGCGATTTTGAACCCTCGAAACCCTTTCCCTCCCCCCTTCCCTCCACGACCACCACCACCTCCACATGCTCTCCTCCCCCACCTTCCGCACAGCACGCACCCCCTGCTTCATAGCACCCCTGTCTACGCAGAGCTCCCACAACCACACCCACCAAACCAAGTCAGCCTCCTCGAACTCACCCTTCCTGCTCGTCCACTTGCTTCGCTCGGTCTGTTGCATGCTGACTCATTGTCGTACATCACGAAGCGCGTCATGGCTCGGGCTTCACAGTAGCGGTTAGGGACCCCAAACTCGCTGGTTCTTCTTCTTAACCGTTACCGTTAACCGTTACCGTTCCCCCGCTAATTTAACCCCCCGCAGCAGCCCCCTAACCCCCAGGCTTGCCGCGCCAAGGCCGCAGCACAGTGCCCACTGCGCCGCAGTCAGTGGCGTCGTACTGAATGCCTCACCGCCGTACTGTACGATGAAGTACTGCATTACGGCCTCGCCTGCTACTATGGCCAAGAACAGCGGATGGGCGGTAAGGCCCTCCAGGACATCGAATTCGTCTCGAACCCGTCTGCAGTGTCGGGTGGGCAGGGGGGGGGGAGTGGTGGGGCGGGGAGGGGCGGGGGATGTGGTTTCTGTCCAGGCCGCCCGAAATGGTGTGGGGACGTGTGGGTTTTGTTCAGCGACTTGCTTATTAGTGCTTAGGGCATTTGGTGGCTATTAGAGGGGTTGGGAACTAGCAAAAAAAGGAAGGACAAGCAAAGAAGGGAGGGAGGACGTAGAAAAGCAGCGGTACGGACATGAGACGTGCCGTACTCACCGGCAATTGAGTTGGTTGAAGAGCTGCATCTGGACAAAGGCGTTAAACACCAATGTGGTTTCCAATAAGTGTGGCGAGTGAGCGGCGGCGGCGCCCCCGCCGCCGCCGCCAAACAGCGCCGCCATCGCCGTACCGTCCAGGCCGCCATAATGCCGCAACGCCACCAGCATGCCGAATAGTACGGTAAGCTGAAAGGCTGCTTGACCGATAATATGCTTCAGGACGGTTGGTGTGACTAGCGGGTCGTTTGGTCGGTTGGGGGGCGCATCTAGCATAGCATCTGCACATGCGACCACCCGCATGCGGCGGTTTGTTAGTTGACCGTTTTAACTAGGGTTTCCATTCAGTGGTCCGTGGAATGTACGGCAAGCAAATCCGGCGGAGGGGATGTACGACTAAGTTCCTGTGCGCTCGGCCCCTCCTGCCTGCGGCCATCACGAAAGCTTCGCCACATTCCAACCAACTCCCAACCTCCAACCATCCAAGGTCGTTATATCCCAACCATCCAACTACCAACGAACCCACCGGTGGGGGCCTCCGTTGCCAGCGCCAGGGAAGCCAACGAGTCCATGATGAGATTGACCCACAACATCTGTACGGCAGATAGCGGCGAGTACCGCAACCAAATAGCGCCGCCGGCCGCCACCGCAACCGCCACCTTCGGTTGGGCGGGGGTGGTGGTTAGCGTTGTGAGTGTCGGTGAGGTGTGGGCGTGTGGAGAGAGGTGTGGGTCTGCTGCCGGGCAGTCAGCCGGTGGGGGACGTGGAGGTGGACAAGGGGCTGCCAGACGGGAGGGGCCCCCGCCGCCACACAAACCCTCGAGGGGGCCAGGCGCTCCTCAACAACACTCAACTCCGTAACGGAATCCCGAACCCTCCTCATCTTAACCTTTTTCCACACACACCGTATACCCCTCCTTTGCTCACTCCTTCCCTCACTCACCCACCCACCCACTCACGCAGCTAAAATTGCTGTTTTTTGGTTAAAAATTTCATGATTATCTTCCTCAAGTGCTGATTTTTATTCAGTATATTGCTTCTTGTCATCGGCAGAAGTTTTGATTTAATTGCAAAAATTGTGATTTAGGTAAAATTTTCCTTATAAACAGGATATAGATCGCGCAATTAAAGCCTTGCAAACTCCTGCAACTCACCACGTTGGCTGTCAGCTGGAACTGCAGGAAGCGAGTGACGGAGGCATACACGCTGCGGCCCCACGCCACGGCCGACACAATGGAGCTGAAGGACGAGTCCAGCAATAAAATATCCGCAGCCTCCCTGAAGCGGTGGTGGACGAATGTATGAATAAATAAATGAATGAATGTTCCCCCTTTTCCCCCTTTTCCCCCCCCCCCTTTCCCCCCCCTTTCCTTGGCAGCAGCTTCACTCGCTCTTGGTTTGTCTTTTCAACCCCTTTCCCCCCCCCCTTACCCCCCCCCCCACCTGGCGATGGGAGTTCCCGAGTTCATGGCAAAACCCACATCCGCCACGGTGAGCGCCGGGGCGTCATTGGTGCCGTCACCCGTCACTGCCACCACCTGGCACGAGGGCGATGTACGTATGTATGCATGTATGTTAGTATGTATGTATGCACGTGTGCGTTCATGTGTATATATTTACGTAGACATGTCAGTGAAGGGCCGCCAGACGGTGCGCCAGCCCACATTGCCGTCCCCGCTACAATACCAACAGCGCCCGCCCCCCTTTCTTCCTCTTCCCCCCCGTCACCTCGTTCCCCCACCATCGCCCCCCCCCCCGCCCCCTTTTCCTCTCCCCACCTCGTCAACACGACTCTCCTCACGCAGTTGCCTCAGCGCCGAAACCAACATGAACTTGTCTCCCGGACTGCACCGCGCCAGAACCCGCAGCCGAGGCCACAGCGCCAGAAATGCCGCCGGGTCGACGGCGGCGGCAGGAGCGCCGGCGGCAGCGGAGCTGCCAGCGGCGGCGGTGACGGAGTCCCGCATCACCAGCTGGCGGAACGTCTCGCCTTCCAGAACCAAGTACGGCAGCTGCTCGTCCACCTTAGGGTCCGCCGTCGCCGCCGGGGAACGTTTCCCTGGGACACCA